GCGAATTTAAAAATACTGACGAAATGTGAGGAAAATATATGCTACTTACAGAAAGTTAATGAATATTAAGGATACTATTTTAGAAATTACATGAAATATCTATGGATATTATTATAGGATAGTTAAGGAAAGAACTATGAAGGAACATAAATGCAAATACATACATAAGAGAAGTATTTATTTGAACAGTTTTTTTCCTTTTTCTTTTTTAAAGATTAATTATGGTTATACAAATTCGACTTCTAAAGACTAGTTTTTATAACCAGGATAATGAAAAGGGTATCTTCGCAACTTGAAACTGGGGATCCTGGTAACAATTTTGCATCTGGATATGCCGGAAATTTTTATCTGATTACTCATTTACCTGCATTAAATTACCCAATTGAATAAAAATAAATTTAAAAAATATGTGTTTTCATATAATATAATGCAGACATTCATATAATATAATGCAAAGCATAAAAAAAATGTACGAAATACAAATAACAGCTACATAACATATTGTGGGTGCATATACAAAATTAAAATAAAATGTCATTGCAATTTTCCTGGACAAAGTCGCTGACAGTTTTTTTAATTCACTCATCAAGTACAAGTCGAAATTTTCTTTTTTTTGCCTCATTTACAATTTCACTTTTGCTTATATTGCGAAATTTTTAGCCTTCAAAGGGTAGAGTCTCCAGTTTAGAAGTCCCAAGTGGCGATTGAACCAATGTGAAGTTCTAATTGGAGGTTACTCTTATAATTGGAAGGTTAAAAGTGCTTGGAATACATATGAAAATTTATTTGCAGGGTTACGAGCCACTGCAAAGGCTGTTCCATGTCGAATTTTCTTGGGAAGGAGGGTAGAATTGCCTATTTAGCATATTTTTTTTAATAAAAGGCTCATGGATTTTAAGAATTTTAATCTAGGTAACGGCATGCTCCTCTAAGCCTCCGCTGTAGCCGCCCTTGGGCCACTCCTCACTTCTGACTGAGCTCTTACTGTCGAAGAAAGCGAAAAACCATAATATTTTTCTTGAATCCCTTGCTTTAATTGTTACTGTTACATCCGTACCGCAATTTTTCAAAGTTTTTCACTAAAAGCACTTAGAGAGAACAAAGTTTACAACATAATATAATACAAATATCTGTTTAATACCTTATAAATTACTATAAACGACTCCCAAACCACTGCATGCGTCTGTCATATGATATTTATTTCGCGCCAACTCTACTAACTCTACGCATGACGTCAGAGCCGCCATGACACCATGCGCGATATCCCCCCTGATGAATTATAATGTTACAGAGGAGTTATTCTCTTAACCACGTAAACTAGCTAGCTAAAACTAAACAAAGTCCTATAACTAAAAATATAATAGATTCTACTCAAAATATCTAAACGAAAGAATTAATTAATAAATACTATTCAAAATATAAACTAAAGAACAATTATATATCTCTCTCTCTCTCTGAATTATGAAGAATTGTCTGTTATGTCCACTGTGAATATTGAGCACAGCCTGCGCTTTGGACAATCCTTGGTAACAAGGCAAGTGACTCAAGCTAGGAAAACTTCTTACAACTTAACTTACGGCTATGGTGCAGAAACTACTGGCTTTGGCCTACTGTTCGCCTTTGGCCTACTGTTCCTCTCCTTCTGACCCTCTCACAGCAGATGCAAAAGTAGGAGATATTTACAGTTTCTTTGAATAAGACCACCTCAACTAAAGAACAATAATATGAATAAAGTTTATTCTATATTTTAAAAGAAACTTACCGTGGTCACAATTCAAAGATACTTTACAAAATATCGAAGCGAATTCTTAATTGATGGATACAATCAGATTTCATGACATTTGTCATCTCAGACCTAAACGTGCTAGATATCATATTTTGCATGATACAGTATGTTCAAAAGTAAATTGTCTCGTTTCAACCTCTTCTCCATTTCTAAGCCTTTCCTTGTAATGTTTTGGTGAGAATCTTCTATGCTGATCATCAAAAGTAAAATCAAAATTATACAAAGGTGCAGCTGGACCACGTTTAACCAAAAAAACTCTATCTGCTGCACGCATTATTTCGGGCCATAATCCTGGGTCAGAAGAGATACTTTGGACGGTAGCCTTTTCTAAATGTTTCTCTAAGGTCTGCACAACTTGCGAATTTTGATTTTTGGAACTGCACGGAACTGCATCACTATTCGCCAAACTCGTTTGAGATGACTTACCCAGCTCAGTAATGCTGACGGTTGCGTCCAAAGGGGGGTACATATCCGGAAAGTCAGTATCTAGGTGCTGGGCGTTGTTCAAATGTTGGTCGGTTGTGGGAGCGTTGAAACTACCTTCTTTCAAGAAGTTCTGCAGCGCATCTGACTGTTTTTAAAGCGGTGTTTGCTTGTTCAATCTCCGCTTTTTAAATTCGCTCCCAGAGGGTTTTCTCTTAGCATCGGACATTTTGGTTCCTGGAACAAATTAATTAAAATAAAAGATAATACTGATATCAAAAAAAGCCATGATTTGATTTAAATTATAATATCTAAAATCCCCCATTGTGAGCCACCGGCTTAAAAAAATGTATTTTATTCAACTTCAGACTCAATTACCTTTCATTCGATACCACACTAGCCATGATTTGATTTAAACTCTAATTTTCGAAATCCCCCCTTATGCGTCATTGACTTAAAAAAAAAATGTATTTCATTCAACTCCAGACTCAATTACCTTTCATTTGATACTACACAAGCCATTTTTTGATATAAACTCTAACTTTGAAATCACCCCTTGTGCGCCACTGGCTTAAAAAATGTATTTTATTCAACTTCAGACTCAATTACCTATCATTTGATACCACACAAGCCATGTTTTGATCTAAACTCTAATTTTTGAAATCTACCCCCCACCCTTTTTTGGGCTTATGTCTGATGAATTTTTTTAGTTTTTAAAAATAAAAACAAAAATTAAAACACTTACCTTCACAGAAGCCAAACGCAATGGACAATTTGCACAAGCACTTTTTTAAAGCTTTTTGCACTAACAATTTAAACAAACTATTTTATTTCGCACCAGCCGAAGTCTAATGGCAAATAATGCATTGTTTTAAATCTACTTTCCTTTTATATGTAGTTAAAAAGGGCTGTTAGATCTTGTTTCGCTTGGTTTCAAACTTGTTGTTTCCTGTACAGTCGTGTTGCCACGGGCCGAAAAACTTGTCAATTCTTGAAAGGCGGTGGTTGAGTGGTTTGGACATGTTGAATTGAATTCAACTAGATTTTGCCTTAACGTTTAAATATATTATTATAGTATTTGAATTATGTGCTTAGAAATAAAAATGATAAATTCCGCCTGCCGCCTCTTAATCTTGTCAACTATCAGTCAAATCTTGCAACGCGTTTTTGATAAAATTCCCGTTAACCGATTTCAATGAAATTTGGTATACTTACAAGGGTCCGATGACAATGCAATATTATGGAAAATCATTTATTGATATGATATCAGAATGATAAAAAAATATTCTTTACTTTTTCGTGCATTTTATAAAAGCCTGTAACTTAATTTTTTTTATCAGTTTATTTTCATTTTCCATGATTTTGGCGCCCCTAGATCATTGCGCTCCGGGCGGCCGCCCGGATCGCCCTACCCTGGGGCCGGCCCTGACCCCGGATTTGTTTCATTTAAAAACGTGAATGTACGAGGATGTATCAGAAAATAACGAGACTGGTGCTATAGTATAACAACGAAACATTTATTTAAAAAAATTCAACAACTATCCTTCGAAGTACTCTCCATTCTGTTGAATACACTTATCCCATCGCTTTATCCACTTATCATAAACTTCTGAGAAACCATTTTTTGATAGTCTGTTTAGTATACCCATCACAGCGTTGTTGAGCTCTAAATCCGACTCAAATCTTCTACCTCTCAATTCTTTTTTGACTTCAGGAAACAAATGGAAGTCACATGGAGCAAGGTCAGGAGAGTAGGGGGGATGAACCATAATTTCAACCCCTAATTCTTCAATTGTTCGTTGACAAATCATTGATCTATGAGCCGGAGCATTGTTGTGATGCAGCGTCCAGCCAAAGTCCTGATAAAGCGGCCTTTTTTTCTTTAATTTTGCCTTTAAGGGTCCTCGAAGTACATTAGAATAGTACTCCCCTGTTACTGTATGTCCTCTAGGTACAATGTGATCGTAAATAACGCTTTTAGCAGTTTTGACCTTCTGCGGTCTTGGGCTGCCTTTATGCTTCCATTGCATACTTTGAGACTTCAATTCAGGATCGTAATGATAAAACCAACTTTCGTCACATGTAACCACATTATTTTAAAACTGTGGGTTACGTTGCAATTGCCTTTTCCACTGCTGACAAATTGTCACTCGATTCGCTTTTTGTTCATCGGTCATCACTTTTGGAATCCATCTTGCCGCGATCTTCCGGTACTCTAAATCTTCATGAATAATTTTTTGAGTGGTACCGTAAGACAAATTAACATTGTCAGAAATTCGTTTTATGCCAATCCGGCGATCATTTTGTATCAAGTCTAATTTCTGCAATTTTTGTGTCATTTCTCGCAGTTTGTGGTCGACCGGGACGAGGTTCATCTTCAACTGATTCACAACCGTCTTTAAACTTTTTAAGCCACTCAAACACTCTACATCGTGATAAACTATTATCTAGATATGCACCTTTAATCATTTCAAAAGTTTCAGTTGGTGTTTTACCCAATCGAACACAAAATTTTATCGCGTATCTTTGCTCCACTTTCATTTTTCGATGGGTACGCAAAACACTGACAATTCAATAATTAATTTGTAACAAATGTGAAAAGTTAAATCAAAGCCTACTTGCGGGGTAGTACATTAAATATAAGGCTTTCATGTCTCATTTTTTGGGTTATAAAATGTTACCTCTGAAAGAAGTTATAGCGCCAGTCTCGTTATATACTGATATATCCTCGTATACTATCATTGGTAACCATTGAAATTATGCCTGTTTAATGAATTTGTTTCTTTTACAGGAAAAAGTCCGCAAAAATACTCGCACTAGGAGCTTTAGTATTAGTTGCCATTGTCGTGGTAGTAATAACTTTGGTAGTAATATCTACAAAGAAAAAAGAAGAAAGGAGACTGGGAGCCGTAGTCAGTAGCGGACATGGCTGCGCTGAAATAGGAGTGTAAGTAAAATAGTAAAAACTTTTTTTTTAAATTGATGTACACAAATATGAGCTAGATTTAAAAAAGGTGCTCGATTTTTAAATCGCAATGGAAAATTGTAAATTATTTTTAATAAAATAGTCATTTAAATATTTAAAATTAATTCTGATGCCTTGATAGGATTCCCCACTCGACCATTCACTGCTGGGTTCTAATTAACAGTGCTGTTCCTAAAGTGGCGCTGGGAAACAGTAACAAAGCCTACACATAACACGAGGCGAAATAACCTTAGCAGTTGAAGCCGATGACACACAAAAAAAATAAATAAATAAAATAGTCCTTATTCACATACATAATTATATCATCAAGTTATCAATAAACTAAAAACTAATTGTAGTGATTAATATTGAAAATAATAGATTCATATTAAAATTAGCTATTATTTTCAAATATTAATATTTTTTAAATCTTTTATTGGAAATACAAAAAATTAATGAATGTTAGTAGTTATTTTTTATTAAAGACGATTTTATAAATGATCTAGTTGTACTTACGTATATAAATAACTAACTATAACTATACAGGGTGTCTTAAAAAGTAGGCTAATCCTTATGTCAGTATAAGAAACCTTTATTATTATTTTTTCGATTGAGGCCATCAAGTTCAATACTACTAGCGCCATAGATAAATTAATATAAAACAAGATGAATTTATTAAATGCCCGCCACTGTCAACACGGCGTAGTTCCCAGCATACTATTAGTTAGCGCCACCATCGCAATAGTATGAAAGCGATGTTGCCGGTTTCCGTAAACTTTCATGAGATGATAGTTATTTCAAATTCATTTTATTTTAATTTTTTATCAATCTACATGCGCACCATACCATCCATACAATGTCCATACTATTGCTGAGATTTTTAAAAGACGGGATTGACAACCTTGTAAAAAATGAAAAACGTGATGGCGGAAGGCGGGATATGATGATAAAATAAAACTTATTTTTATTTTATGATGTAAGTTGATGTAAGTTACATAGGTAGGTAAGTTATTTTTAGGTTAAGAAACAAACGGTGCTGATTTGATGTAATTAGTAAGTATTAACTTTAATTTAATATTAAGTATTTAAGGACTTTGTTTATCATTGTTTTCTTAGCCTTAACGATATATAGGTATCTAATTTCATATTTCAACAATTCCTTTTCTAATATTTGAAACAAAAATGTCTGGCCCGGGTATAGTTAAGTATTCTTGTTCAGCTCCTAATTGTTTAAATAAGTATTATTCTAATATTCAGCAAGTTGGTTATTCAAATAAAGCATTTTTTCATTTTCCTTCTGATGTTAAAGTTCGCCAGAACTGGTTTAAGAATTTAAATTTAACTTTAGATGATAATAATACTCGCTATCTTTGTGAAGATCATTTTTTGCCAGTCTTTTAGTAAGGTTTCCTCAAAACGTAAACGACTAGTTGTACATTATGTACGAATTTCTTTAGATAATTATGCATCCAGTTCAAATATACAACCCGAGAGCCAGATTTCAGAATATATTGAGGCTGAAGCACAAACACAGCAGCATAAGATAGATTTGCTAATCAGCAACGAAAATCAAGAAATTAGTTGCAAACGTAAACTAAATATTAGTGATGTACAATTTGAACAACCCTCCAAACGGAGAAAAACTGTTTTGCAACAAATAAATGAAAGTAAAGTCAAAAATTTAAGTCCCAAAGAGAAAAAGCTGTATTTTATTAATAGAGAACAAAACGTTAGAATTTGTAAGCTAAAGAAAGCTCTACGTGTTTCCAAAAATAAAATCAAGAAAGCCTTTGAATTATCCAAAACTCAGTTATTTTCAGATTTTAATAATAAATTAGATCCGATTGGAATTAAATTCTTTAAAAGTAGTTTAGAAAATTGTAAGAGAAAGAAACCCTCTTGGACCACTCAGAATAAAATTTTTTCTTTAGCATTATATAAAAATGGTCCAAGAGCATATAACTTTTTAAGAAAATGCATTTCGTTGCCTAGTAAATCTACTATCCAACAAATTTTAAGTGATTTACCTTTTGAAACGGGGATAAATGATTCAGTGTTTTCCAGATTTAAAGAAATTGTTAGAAAAATGCCAGAAATTGATAGGAATTGTATTTTAATGTTCGACGAAATAGCTCTAACCGAAAAACTCACTTTTGATACAGTTAATGACAAAATTGTTGGATATGTTGACTTGGGAAAAAATTTTGGTAGACGCCCAGAAGTAGCCGATCATGCTTTAGTTTTTATGATTCACGGTTTAAGAAGAGTTTGGAAACAGCCTATAGCATATTATTTTACACGTCATGCTATAAATAGTAAAGATCTTATTGAGTTAATTAAAAGAGGTTATTACGGCTCTTCAAAATATAGGTATAAAGGTTTTAGCAACTGTTTGTGATTTGATGGGGGAAAATAGGGTAGCTTTAAGATCATTGAGAACAAAGGGTGGGACTGTAACAAATTTAGAGCCACATTTTTTTTTTAAATGGACAGAAAATTATAACTCTTCTTGATGTTTGCCATTTACTTAAGTGCACCAGAAATGCTTTGTTTAATTATCATATTCAGTACGATGGAAATAAATACGCCAATTCAGATTTTTTATTTACTTTTTGTTTTAGAAAGGCATCACAAAAAAAATTAAAAAAACTAAAAAAATGAAAAATAAGACAATACAAAAAAAGTACATAATAAATGCAAAAAACAAAAATCTAATCTATTTTTCTGTTTCAGAATGATCCTGTTGTGTTTACGTTTTGTGTTTATTTTCATTTTATTTACCAATACTATCTCTATATTTGGTTAACAATTTATTTATAATAATTTTTATTTTTTTTATGTAGAGATGGTACTGTTTGTTAGGTGTGCTCCTTTTTTAGAATAAATAAAATAAAAAAAGCATCCTCGGTGATTAGTCCACTGCTTTACCTCCTCGTGGTGGGATGCGGGCAACAGTAAACTGAAAGCAAATTCTCAAAAGAAGATATTTTCAAACCTCAAGAGTTGCTGCTTTTCACTTACTGGCTAAAGTTGGCAAGTACTAACAAATTCTTCAATTTTTGATTTATAACTAATAAGTTGTGTAGTAAAGAGATTAATCAATTAAGCTATATTTTCATAAATTGTAGTAAACCTATACTAAATAATTTTATTGTTAAAGTTCACCTTTATTTTTTATTAATTTATATATAATTAATAGTTATTGTCAAGTTTCACTTTTTCCTCCTTTTGAATTGAAACCTTGCCCTGGTGATGGGCCTGTGTACCTTAATGATTAATTGATAACAGAATTTAAGGGATATCCTTTTTTCGTCTGTTAAAAATGAAAGGTCCTATTAATATCAATCCTGAATTTATTATACATATAATGCAACACATTTATGTGCAGAAAATAAAATTATACTTAATATTTTGAATAACAATTTTTAATCAGATTTATTAAACCAATTAGATTTGTTAATTTAAAGTTAAAACAATTCAAATGGACTATTGCATTATGAGGAATAAACAGAAATAGTTTTTTTCCACACCCACATGGATATAGCTATTCTACTCACAGACTACAAAATGAAAAAGTAAGCCATTGGGTTCAAGTCATATATCCATTCTACCTAGTAAGAACACTGCATGGATATGAAATCCACCAGTCACAGTTCATTATTTGTTCACTGGGCTATTATTAATTTTTTAAATTTTAAATGTCACAATTTTGTCAAACTAATTGTCAGTATATTTTTTAGTTATTGAAATTAATTATGAAAATAAATTAGTAAAGTCATAAATTATTTTTAAATTGGAAATTTTATCTTAGTTACCCAAAATAATTTTAAAAAATTGTAAATTTTCGTTAGAGGGTCGTAGAAAAAATATACTGTACAACTAGAGTGGATTGTCCTTATCGCACTCAGATGATTGAACACTCCACGTACTGCGTCGTTCTCAATCTTCGTCAAATAATTAAAAATAACTTAGTTTTATAAAAATGGTCAACATTTTGATAAGAGAAATTGTTCAATAACATATATGTACACTTTTTGTTTTGTTTTTATAGGAAACACCTGACGCCCATCAAAGTATGGTCCATTTTTACAAGAATGTGGGGAAACTAGTATTCATTTCACTTACAATTGTTCTTTATTAACACATTATGTATGTATTACTGTATAATAAATAATTTAAATATATTTGTCTTATATTTTATTTCAGTGTAAATATTTTTTGTCTACATTTTTGTATACATTTTTTGGGGTTTTATAACTAAAAAAAACTAATATATATGTTAAATACAATATTTTAATATAAATATTAGTTTTTCTTTTTAAAGTAATGAACCCCAAAAAATATAAATAAATAAATAATAGTATATTATGCAACGATCATGTAATGATGGTTATTAATACACGAGCATTAACCGGGATACGAAACGAGCCAAAGGCGAGTTTCGTATGGTCTATGCGAGTGTTTTAATAACCATTACATGAGAGTTGCATACGCTATTTTTTCTACACCCGTAAAGAATCAAGACCTATAAATATTATATTTATATTGGTTTTGCTGCAAAATATTTTGTACTGTATTTTCTGCTTTCTCCGATATGTGTGGAAGAGTCTTCTATATCGCTGATATGAGACATTTTAATATTATAATTATCGAAGTTTAGCTATCTACGAAAATTTAATACGTTTTGACAACTAAAACAATTACATAGAAACCTAGGACAAACGTCAAACAGCATGCTTGATTGAAAAATAGTAGGTTTCTATTGATTAAAAATCTGTATCGTAATGAAAAATCTGTATCATAATGGGTATCATTATGAAACGGATTATGGGCATATAAGTGCATTATTATAATACGGGTGTAGAAAAAGATATTTAAATGAACCGCGGTTACGTTAACACTCTTCTTTTTTTATGCCTCTTACTGACAAATCAATCAGCCAGTGTAGTTCAAAAAAGATCCGTTCCATACTAATTCGCAGCACTACGTTTCCAAAGATTAACACAGAATCCGACCATCTTCTTTATTAGTTTATCTATGACTAGCGCCCTTTATGAGGTAGGTAATATTTAGGCTCAAATTATTATTTGTCATCCCAAAAAACCCCAGTGTGCCAATTTTAAGCTATCTATCTAATAAAATGAAGAAAATATAATGAAAAACGTATTTTTAAAAATTAAGGAATCTATAGTTAACAGATTGGTCTACTTTTTTATTATTTTTAGTGCGACAATGAAGAAAGGCGGCAATGCCGTCGACGCGGCAATAGCAACGATGTTCTGCGAGGGTGTGGCAATGTCGGAAAGCACAGGGTTGGGTGGTGGATTTTTTTTAGTATTATACAATAAAACAACAGGCGAAACGTGGGCTCTGGATGCCAGAGAGACAGCCCCAGGAGCTGCTGCCGAAGACATGTACGTTGGAAAACCTGCCAATGCTTCCTTAAGAGGTAGGATGTTATACGCAAACACATTTAAATACCTTTCTCCTGTATTTCACTAAAAATAAATCAACTATATAAATATGGTTAAAAGTTCTTACCAAAATGAATTGGTCTAACATCCTCTTTAAATTTAAATTAGGCAATAGCCGGAAAATATTAAACACAATGTAAAACAAATTTATAAACCAAGTTTTATGATTTGCCTTAAAAATAATATTGCATTTCTGAAAATTTACACTTCCTCATACTTTAAACGAACATATAATTTATCCGGGTTTTACTTAAGACGTTGTATAAAATACAATTACATTTTACAGGCGGTAGTTCTGTCGCAGTGCCCGGCGAACTCAGAGGATACTGGGAACTTTACAAAAGGTTCGGTGGCGGTCTACCATGGAAAGACTTGGTCCAACCAACGTTAGACATATGTAAAAACGGCCAATTCGTTACCGAATTCTTAGAAACCCGATTCAAAATAAGAAAGGAACTTCTTTACAATGACCCTACAATGAGGTAATTTACAATAATTTACGGTAACTTTCGATAATTTACAATAATTTACAATAATTTACGATAATTTACAATAATTTACGATAATTTACGATAATTTACGATAATTTACGATAATTTATGATAATTTACGATAATTTACGATAATTTACGATAATTTACGATAATTTACGATAATTTACGATAATTTACGATAATTTACGATAATTTACGATAATTTACGATAATTTACGATAATTTACGATAATTTACGATAATTTACGATAATTTACGATAATTTACGATAATTTACGATAATTTACGATAATTTACGATAATTTACGATAATTTACGATAATTTACGATAATGATTTACAATAAATAATTTACGATAATATTTTACGATAATTTAATTTATCAATCGTTTTCATCCGTTTTAAATCGTTTCGAATCGTTTATAATCGTTTCGAATCGTTTTGAATTGTTTTAAATAGTTTTGAATTGTTTTAAATCGTTTTGAATTGTTTTGAATCGATTTGAATCGTTTTGAATCGTTTTAAATCGTTTTGAATCGTTTTGAATCGTTTTGAATCGTTTTGAATCGTTTTGAATCGTTTTGAATCGTTTTGAATTCTTTTGAATCGTTTACAATGGTTTGCGATGGTTTACAATCGTTAATAATACAATCGTTTACAGTTTACAAACGTTAACAATTGTTTGCAGCCATTTACAACCGTTTAAAAGCTTTTACAATAATTTCCAATCAATTGCCATACAATTATTTACAAATATATACAATCATTTACATTCATTTGTAATCATTTACAATCATTTACAAAATAATTTATATTCATTTGTAATTATTTTCAATCATTTACAAAATAATTTACAATCATTTACAATCATTTACAATCATTTACAATCATTTACAATCATTTACAATCATTTACAATCATTTACAATCATTTACAATCATTTACAATCATTTACAATCATTTACAATCATTTACAATCATTTACAATCATTTACAATCATTTACAATCATTTACAATCATTTACAATCATTTACAATCATTTACAATCATTTACAGTAATTTACAATAATTATTTTGAATACGTTTTCTGATTAATTTTTTCGTAGAGATACTTTCTTCCATAAAAATTCCAAGGAATATTACAAATCAGGAGAATATTTGAAAAGACCCAGAATGGCGAGAACTTTGGAAATAATTGCTAGAGAAGGGGGCGATGCGTTGCATAATGGTTCACTCACCAAAGGATTTGTTGAAGATATTCGAGATAAAGGTGGCTTCATTACCGAAAAAGATATGAACAACTACAAGTAAGTAGACACTAGGATAAAAACAATAGATACAATCTTTAGAAATTTTAAACTCCCAAAGTGGAAACAAATTTATTGAAAAATAAAAAAAAAACTGTACCGAGTGGGAATCGAACCCTCCACATTCGCGTTTTACCCTCGCTGCCTTGACCATCAGAACACTAAAAATAATGAATTTTATCCATAGTGAATAGAATAATGAATAATATATAGATCGTTTCATTAAAATAAAAAAGATTTTTATATTTAAATTTTCGAAAAAATACTCTTATTCTATTCGCTCCGTGCGCGACAGCAGCGCCAATTTGTTTTGGTATTAAAGGAGTATTTCTGCCTATACTGACAAATACAATTTTTAATAGAATTCGTAAATAAAAAGTATATATGTTAGTTTTAATAAAAGTATATGGATTTATAAAACAATTAAAACATTAATTTATTATTATTATATATTTTTCACGCTTAAATTGAAGAAAATTATGTATAATCATTAAAAATCAATAATAAAATATAGGCAGGCAACAGTATTTACTGGAAAATGTATGAGAAGTTGCCTAAGTCTAATAAGTTGTCATTGAAGAAACCATTTATAATAGCGTGAAGTTAAAATGTATAAAAAGGATCGCTACTTATATTTTCATTTTTGTTCTAAAGAAAACATAGAATGAATGATTAAAACTGGTTTCCGATCAGTAAGTCACAAAATTGCATACCAGCCAAATATTATAATCAACGGCAGAAATCTTGAAATCTAGTCCTTGCTGAATGAACATTTAAGAATAAAGGGATATTAAAGAACATCGTAAAATGATAATTTATTGTTTATTTAAAAACTTTCTAGTTTCTGATGTCTACTATTTCCAGCATTACTGTTATTATCACAAAAATAAAGGTAATTTTTCTTCTTATTGTACACCTATCCATTTATTTCTTTGATTTAATTTCCACTTTGTTAGTGAAATTTGTTATATAAGTTTCACTGTTTTTTTTTGCTAGTATTTGTACAATTTTCAACACAGCAACTCCGGTTGCTTATTGTGTTGTTTTTACCTACTTTTTTGAAAACAAGTAAAATGTATACGTGTATTTGATATGCCAAAATTACAAAATATCCCCCTAAAATGCACGAATTATCCGCAGCTAGCGCTAGTATCGCTTTTGCTTCCCTTTCCATGACTTCGCACGGAGCGAATAAACATACAGATTGACCCATTTGAAAGCGGGCCATCCTCACAATTTTTAGTTATAGATGTATTTTGGAGCCAAGCGGCGTCAGTTTTTTAAAAACCATGGCCTACTAATTTCAGAATCCATATTAGCTATTTTTTTAGAAGAAATTCGCGTACGCCACTGGAATTGGCGTCCTCTTAAATATATCTGTACCAAGTTTCATGAAAAAAAAATTAATATTAATGATTCTATGACTAAATTACTGATAAGTTGTTTATTATGCATTAAGAAGCTTTTTATCTAGTAACTTAACAAAAATTATTAAATAGACCTTGGTTTGAAAAAAAAAAAAAAAAAACTGGATGCCTTTTAGCTCCAAAATATACTTTTCCTTCCTCCACATTTCAAAAAAAAAATCGTCAAAATCGCTCCATAAATAAAAAAATTATGAGAGTGGTCCGCTTTTAAATGGGTCACTCTGTACATACATATATACATACATACATATTGAAATAATTACGAAGTTCATGTCTCATATAACTCCAGCCAAACTATTTTTTTAATTTGTAAAATACATATGTTTTTGAATATTTTTGTAATGTACTGATTTTACACAAAATTTAATAAAAATTTTAATATTTTGTCAACGCAGTATTAAAATTTGTACTAATGAAACTATTTTCTAGTTATGGGAAATTTCGAACAAAATAAAACGGTTTTTATTTCATTTCGGTTTCTAAATTTGTTTAGGCGTTTAGGCTATAAATAACTGGCACACCCTATATATGATCCTAATCCATTGAATATCCTTGAGAGATAATGTTTTATTTCGAATTTATTTACTTTCAGACCAATATGGAAGAGGCCGGTACAAACCATGATAGATCAGAACTACACTGTGATATCCTCACCTTTACCTGCCAGCGGTATTATTTTAAATTATATCCTAAACATTTTGAGTAACTTTATAGATTTTAATCAACCGTATTCGATTGAAACCAATCAACGAATCATTGAGAGCTTCAAGTTTGGCTACGCTAAAAGAACTGAGTTTGCTGATCCAGACTTTTTCGACTTCACTGAAGTAAGTAAATTCCTCCGAGCAATTACTACTAGAGGGAGTCTTCCCCCTTTCCCCGCGCTAAATTTTGTTAGCAACATCTACTCCCCCGAGGGAGAAAATACCTCTTCTGTAATTGGCTTATTTAATCAACGTTGCCAAGTTTGACACTTTCTGACACATGTCAATTTCTTATTTGTATTTTACGGAAAATATTATTATTTATAACGTTGTAAGGGTTGTAAATGTATATTTAAGATTTATTATCTCTAATAATATGGTGAAAACATGCTTTATGTGTAAAAGGCCTGTTGAAAATGCTTCTTCAAGATAATATCATAAGTAAGTACAGACACAACCTAATTATCAGAGGCGGTGCATTAGGCAATCACCTTTAATTTGCAAATAAACTTTCTTATTTTCTTATCGAAAAATTAAAATTAAGAGCAAGTAAACTCGTCTTCATCCGTCTCATAATGATTATAGTAAATGTTAATTACTTATTATTATTATTTTAATATCACATCTTTGTAAAGTTTATTGTTATTTTTTTAGGTTTCCTTTTCTTGATATGAGAAAGAAATACATGATTCCAAAATATAGGAATTCAATAAGTGACCACCTGAATAACTTTTTATGCTAATGAACATTTTTATTACAGACCGCAGGGGAGGAAAATATTAAAGAAAAATGCAATTTCGACGAAAAAAGTATAATAATCAATCCTGTCACTACTTCTACAGTATATTCATCTGCTACTAAAATACTAAAACAGCAAGTAAGTAGAGAAACTTAAGTTTCTTTCAAAAAGAATGTTTAAGGAAAACGGCATAAACATTTTTTTGTTGACACTTTTTTTTAACTAATCTAAAAGACTAACTTTGAGTATTGTTTAAATTTTCATTTTTTGTACTTAATTTGTTTTTGGTTTAAACAAAATGAACTTCTAAGATATGCATGGAATATCCCAAAAGAGCTAAGGAAGGTTTTAAAATTCTTAAGAAAGCTATTCAGAGCCAAAAACATAAAATAGTCTTCCTGTCAAAAATATAAATAGGTATAAATATTTAGATATTATGAGTGATTCTTTATTCTATAAATAGAACATAATTTGCTTCTAAATCACTACCTAATGAACTATATTATATAGTACAAAACTAAACAAGAATGTCACATTATTCATGTTTTTTTTTTAATTTCCTTAAAAACGTCCCAAAAAATGTGAATATTTATTATTGGAGTTTACATCGTTATGCTTAAACAATACTAGAACAACTTAAATAATCTGGATTTTGACTATTTTGAGGTATGCAGATCATTATGATCTAAAAAAATGTTTGTCTGGTGCTATAGTCAGGTATAAAAACATTCATTTATTTAAACACAGTTGCAATATACATTTTATTTAGTTTTTAAGTTAAAACCTATTAGGACATTCTAAAATGACTTTTTTTCGTTTGATGTGAGATTAATTATTCTACATTTTTGTTGGTGAAATAGGATATATTAAGATGTCTTACTGTTTTCTCTAATTATCTAAAAAGTTAGAACAATATACAGAGACTGTTATAACAAAAAAAAAGATATACCTTTACTTAAACACACAATTAGTCAGTTCAATTGTACGATAATTTAAAGCAGAAATCCAGAAAACTTTAAAAATGTTGACAAGGGGGGTAGCCATGTGTGAGTTGAGGTAATTTTAAGGTGCACATATTTCCTTGCAAGGGGTACATTTCAGTAAGTAATTTCTTCCCACAAAAAACCAACGTGCATGTTTAAGGACTAGGTTAAGTTGTGTGTTTTCACATCTGTCATTTTCTTCTTTTCTTCTTCTTTTATTTTTCAGTTGCTTCACAACAGTTAACCCAGTCATTTCTTCTTCTTTCTTATTTTATCCTACAACATCACATACACTTGGTGATTGGTTCATGGCCCAAATCTTATATAATAAATATTTCTTCACTCATAGTTTACATCTTATTACCTATACCCTGTCATAAGTTTATCCAAGAATTTTTCGTTAGTACTTACCACCACCTGTAGAGGCCTTAACTTGACAGGTCTCCTTTCAAAAATGTTAGATTTTTATAAAAAACAGCAATGTTGCTTAAAATATGCCTTATCTTTTAATCTGTTTAATGTATGTGATTTGTTTTTGTATAGTCTTGAATATTTTAAAAATTTTTAACTGTTTATATCGACTAATATTTGTTTTTCAAATATTTTTAACTTTTTATAACTTGTAACATTGTTTTGTTTTACAATTTAATTCATCCCCTACGTTTTGATGAAACTTGTCTGTAGTATTCCCTAGTGGATGGAGAGTATGGTGAGTTTTTCTATTTTTTACTATTTTATATATTGTGGGCTCAAAGTCAACACACCTTACACCACATATTCTCCTTTCCACTAGGCGAGCCTGAAGATGAAGTGATGATACTTCGAAACCGGTCGCACTCAATGTTTTGTTGAATAATTAAACATTGACTTTCCTTGTGAGATATAAAGGACTTTTTCTCCCCCCTTCACCTTAAAAAAAAACTTTAAAAATGTGTTTAAATGTGTTTTTACTATAACAAGGACATAATTATTAAAAAAACTTGGCACATTAACATTGTCGATAGGTTTTTATAATATATATTATACAAATCACAACGAACTACACAAAATGACATTAATAATAATTTAGCAATAAAAAAAGTTAAGTACAATGATGATATTAAAAGTTGAGTTTCTCGAAATACTGTTTTTAAATTGTGTCAGTACCTACCTAGTATTTTTCTAGCACAATGATATTATATGAATGCGCATTGTGTGATATCTTATATTTTAGGAATAAAATGATATATTTTTTTGCAGGTTTCTGTTAACAACTATTCCAAGAACTTTTGAAAATATTATTAAAACGGCCTTTGCAAATATAATTCTCAATTAAGAGCTTTTGATCTAACATTAAATTTTTATTCTTCATAAGGTTACAGCTTCCTAAGAAGAAAGTTTAACAAGACTTACCAGGCCCAAAATATCAAAATTTTACCAACCAATTGATGGTTCTACTGGTTTCCATAGGAAAATTCTCTTCGAAACTACTAAAAGAAAAGTGGCAGAGGCAACCGAAGAAGGCAAAAAAGTCTTTTGCAAAACAAAAACTAAAAATTTGTTTAAGAATCTAATTATTGTTTGAAATTTTACCATTACATTTTTGATAACGATTTAAGATTATGAAGTTCTATTATGTATTTTACTCTTTGATAACCTATGTTTAAATTTTTATTAGGACCAAAATAAACTATAATTTTCATTTCAACTACAAAAACCCTCATAATATTAAAAAGGGGGAAAACGTTAGATTAGTTATGTTCAGGAATAAATTCTTTAAACATTTATCTACTTAAAATGTGTTACTTTTAGAAGGTATGTTATTAACTTTCTATTTGTACTTGTATTAATTTATTTCATTTTATTATCTGTTGTATTTTCAAATTGATTTTGATATTAATATTATCTATTTTTATTTTTGTTATATTCACATATATGTTATTTTCATTGAAACAAACGTTTATTAGCTTATTAAATATAATGAATTCATGTTGTTTTATTATATGCTTGTATGAATGATTACTTTTATTTCCTTTTAAAAATGAATTTCGAAGATAAAGCCGAAACGGTGAGTTAGAATAAAAAATTAGACGAAAATGACGATATTTACTGGAGCTTTCATCTACACGCTCCTTTTTCTAGCCATCTACACCTAAGCCAGCAAGATTCGTCTTCCCTCCATCCTTACATTCTCCAGATATACAGAGAAAACGATGTCCTCTTTAACATATCCAAACCTTCTTTGACGGGGACTATACCACTATATTATCAGCTTTATTTGTTATCCCGAGCAATTTAAATGAATTCGTAATTGCTCAGTCTCACCTCTTCTCTTGTAGATTCCGTACTCAGTTTTCTTATTTTTAGTTACGATTGCAGTGCTCTTTTATTTTCACAGCTTTAATTCTATAATGCTGTAACGCTACAATATGGATCCATTTTTGTGGTTTATACTATTTAATGTTATTCGTAAGTGACCAACCTATTATAATAATTAAAGATTATTGTATTACAGGCTTGAAGATGTTCCTGTAAGGCCAAAACTAGTCGCTCCTGTATTTATTTATAATAAAATTGATTTTAAGGTTTTATTCTTCAATTGAAAAAATTAGACCTTTACAGTGATTTTGTTTCATTACCTGCATTAGACACATATAAGACGGTATTCATTTTAAAAATAGTAAAATTAGAAATTTTTTTAGTTTTTTTTTACAATTAAAACGTTTGGACATTGTGTGTTTTTATAGATAAATGATACGCCACTGAACAAGAAGGATGTTTACCTTCCCCCTTGTGCCCGCTTCCTCACTTCCTCTACAGATGTTGCTAACACAACAATCGCCTACTAGTTCTCACGCTCCTCCTATTAGTAATTGCTCGGAGGTAAATTCAATAACAACAGATTTTATTTTTGATTTGTTGTTTTTTTGTAGTTGGTAAATAATATGAGCTCGCCTGCATACGCAGCTGCCACAAGAAAGTTGATAAAAGATAACCAGACGTTTCAAGATCCCCTGTATTACGGGGCTACGACCAATTTCCAGGAAGATCACGGTACTTCACACATTTCCGTTTTATCGCCTCAAGGGGATGCTGTATCTGTTACAGGAACTATTAATTTCATGTAAGTGATTTTAATATAAAAAAAATCCTTAGAGCCACATTGGGGTCTTCATTTATGTATATGATGATGAAGATAAAGATTAACGGTCCCAGAACTGATCCTTGCGGAACTCCTGTATTTATAGGGTTTAAATTTGACCGGCTATTATTATAAAATACACTTTGAAACCGATTGCTGAGATATGATTTAAAAAGGTGCAACGCAGTTCCTCTAACTCCATAGTAATTAAGCTTTTCAAGGAGGATATCGTGTGAAACACAGTCAAACACCTTTGACAAGTCGCACAGTGTAACTCCTACAAACTTTCCGTTTTCAATGCCATCAACCATATAATCAACGGCACACATTGCAGCATCAGACGTTGATCGCTTTGAACGAAAACCAAATTGATGGGCAGAAAAAATTATTTGTTTCAAAATATAGTCGAAAGTAAACCTATGTATTATTTACATCAAACCCGATAACAGAAGATCCTATAACAGCCACAGGCTACTGCAAGGTGCAGAGTAACATTACTCCCTCTTCTCTAATTATTCATCCCGAATAACTTGATTACTGGGACCTAGTTGAAGCGAACGGGAAGGATCTGGACCACGGTAAGGCGCTAACTTTTCAATGAAAACTACCTTGGGTTTACTTTCCGCTGACAACTTAATGCAGTAGGTGCCTTCCCAGTTCCGTTGCAGTTTCTGACAAAGTCCTTTTAGGCTCTTGGAATTGTACAGCCATACTGGATCGTCTCTCTCAAAATGTGTCCCTGTGGCATGCATGTCGATTCTAGTTTTTGCTTTATCGCTATTGACTTTCAGATGTTGCCGAGCGAAGTCATATATCTTCTCTAATCTTTCTCCTAAGTTCTGTATGTACGTGGGATATGTACGACCCCCTCTTCTTTACAGGAGGCTGCCTTCCAAAAAGAAGATTATGGGGAAGTTTCATCTCCCTTTCAGTAATCGTCATGAATGGAGTATAACTGGTCGAATCATGTTCAGAACCTCGGTGTCCCAGTCCTTTTATTTCTCAGAGATGAACATTGAATGATACTGGCATATGGTTCTATGATGTCTGTCTACTATTCTGTCTGTACTGTGGATGGAGAGACATAGTTCGTGTTTTCCAGATGCCTAACAGGTTCATCAATTCTTGCCATAATTAGGATTCAAAATTTCGTCCTTGGTCAGAATGCAATTCCAGGAGGACTCCATGTCTCGCAATAACGTTCGTCATAAATGCTTCCGCTACTGATGTCGTTTCCTGATTAGGAATAGGCACTATTTCGGCCACTTTGAAAAATAGTCAATAAACACCATCAAGTATTTGTTTCCCCTTTCTGTTAAGGGAAGTGGTCCGAGGGTATCTATGGCTATTCGTTCGAAAGGCTCTCCTGAAAGGTACTGTACCATTTTACCCCAGCTTCTTGGTTTCAGACCTTTTCTGCCATTACATAGGTCACATTCCTTACACCAATTTTCTACATCTCATCGGCAATTGACCAAATAAAATCTTTCCCGAACTCGTGTTAGTGTCCTTTTAGTACCAAAGTATCCTCCTAAACGGCTGCTATGAAGCTCGTCCAACACACCTTTCTGACATGTGATTTCGGCAGTATCATTTGGCAGATTACATGCACTTCAAGTCATTGTCTTTCTTTTGAGTCTTTCTTAGGCTTTCAAGGGTGATTCCGTCTTCGTCATCCTCTGACTTGATAGTGGTCGCCTGAAGACTAACTTCTTCAAGCGGCTCCTCTCGTTCTCCGAGCCTTTTACAGTACCGACATTGTCGTTGTAAACAGGGTCGCCTGGAAAGAATGTCTGCGTTGCTATGGAGACGGCCCTTTCGATGCTCTGTCTCAAAGTTACATTGTTGAAGTCTTTCTATCCATCTAACAACTTGACCTTCAAATTTTTAAAATTCATCAGCTACTGCAAGGCGCTTTGGGCATAGCTACGGTCAAAACTACAAACCCATATTCTTCTTACAAATTAGAAATTCTTCATTAAGTGTTGGCCTTTTACAACATAACTCGTTTAGTAACCTTTTGTGTAACATTTATTCTATGTTTCAGAAACATTCTCAGTGAGATATTTAACTAAAATATTTCACTTGTGCTTGAAATGTTATGTTTGAAACGTTTTAAATATTTCTGAAACACTTTTGAAATAATGTTTGCTGTATGGGTACCTCCAATAACTTTTAATGTCTCCATTCCAAATGGAATGACTCCGTTTGGGCAACATCCAAATATATTTTACGTTCAGAAACTGTTCATTTACGGTCACTTCAAATGGATGCGTGAATAAGGTAGTTGTTTGTGTTGTTTGTAGTACAGTTAACTCATCGGGGTTTCCCATTCATACAGCGTCCACTCCGCAGACTGCTAACAGAGTTCGTTAGTTGTTTGGGACGTCTGGATATTCAGCGAAACTACTACGCCATGCCTATACATTCAAATTTCACGGAGTGGTTTTGGAATGCAGTCACTCCATTTGGACATTTTGCGTTACATTCAATTTATCTTTACGCTAAATGGGAAAATTTCTGACTGAAAATGGCTCTTAGATTTGTACAATGTGATTTAGCGATATATTTTTTTTTTAGCTGGGGAGCCGGTTTCCAGTCAAACAGTACTGGAATAATCCTAAACGACAGCATGGACGATTTCTCTCAACCGGAAACGACAAACGGTTTTGGTTTACCCCCGGCTAGGGTTAATTTTATAAAACCTGGTAAAAGGCCGATGTCTTCTATGACGCCCGCCATCGTTTTGGATGAAAATAAGAACGTCGTGATGGTTCCTGGAGGCGCCGGTGGAAGCAAAATCACCACAGCTTTGGCGCAAGTAAGTTCAATGGATGTGTTTTGCTTCCTCGTTAAGATAGAATGAAGAGAACATGCTATGACGATGCTAATAGGTGTGGATGGAACGATATTTTCAATGAAAAGGAATATACCTCATATTTGATTTCCTCGCGGAGTAATAACCGATGGCGCCTACCGTATAATCAGGTCCAATGACAATATTGACATATGACAGACAGTTTATTAGTTTCGACAGTTGACATTTAAAATGGTTTCTCGCCTCACTTACGAAGTTTGCAAGTTTAAAAGTAATAAACAACTTCTTCTTTATAAACGTTTAAATAAACGTGATAATAGGCGGTCGGATTGATGTGTATAGTTTGTAAGTAAGGCTACATGAACAATCACTTCCAATTCGAAGTTTGATCGCGCTTGGCAAATGCAGAAACAACGCATTAACATTCAAGGTATTCAAACTAAAAATGTGGCTTTTATACATTCTAGTCATTATTTCTCGATTTGATAACTTTAAAAATGACTATTTTAGGTATTGTATTTTGCCAACCAAGGGCAACATACTAGAACATACTTATGTTACCAGATCAATTATTTATAAGGTTTATTCACTCTGATGCCGTCATATGTTAACAAAGTTTATGTAGCTAGAGTACGATTCAAGTAAGAAAAAGCCACACACATCATACCTGACAAAGGCCGCAATAATTTGCCTCTCTCTCAGGTCCATCCCATTTAAGCGTCAGTGGCGTTTTGGCGATTTTTTTCGTTTTTCTAATATAGAGATACAATTGCTTAATAATTTGGCAACGCTGTACGACTGCCGCATGGTCCAGAATATAATTCGAACAGAAGCTATCGTGTAAACATGGATCCCTTATTATTGTGAGCCAAACTTCGGCGTTGCCAAGCTTTTACTTACGAACAAGAATACGGGTTCATCGGAAGAAAGTGAAGACAGCGAGAACAATCGAACTAGGATGTACTCCTCTAGTTTCACTTTTTGCACTAGTTGCATAAAATTTTAATTTTAATAAAAATCTTAAATTACAAAATTGTGTTGCTATTTTTATTTACTTCCCACTGAATGTTTTGCAAGTCTAAAGTCGAAAAATATATGTAATGTTATTTTAGTTTAGTTATTTAGGTAATATACAAATGTTTAAATCATTAAAATTTAACTTTTTAATCCAATAAATGTTTTTTGTTGGAAAACTGCTTTAATTCTTATTTAAATAAGAGGCAGACGATGACTAGTTGATGACGCCCGTGGCTTTTTCTAAGTTGAATCGTACTCTACATACTATAATTAAAAATAAAATGAAAATATCCTAAAATTTCTAAAATTGAAATTCCGTTTATAAATCCCCAAAGTTAAATTATATTTGAAATATGACATTCAATAATAGAGTTACCACGGTATGTGTGACGTCACCGCAGTAACCACAATCACAGAACACTTACCAGAATACTGTAACCAAGTATGTTGTGGTAAGAAATGTCTCAAATTTCCTTTATATTTTTAATATAATTTTAATATTGTATAAAACGGACATGCACAAGTTCGCTGTGCAGTAAATTTGTTGACAAAATTTGCGTATGCTATAAATCCTCAGTATATATCTGTTAATGCGTTAAATGTACTTGTACACGTGGATGGATGTTGTGTGAGGATAAGAAGTCATAAAGTAACGCCACCTACACTTAATAAGCAAAATCAAAGCTCACTCGTTCACCTAGTTCAAAATTTAGATGGAATAAAAAGCCGGGATGAGCAACTTAAAAAAGAAATAATTTCAACTCAAATATGACCAAGACGTTATATAAAATAGTAAACTAATATCTCGAAGGCATACGTCACAAAATAATACGAGATTTTTTAATAAAAATAATCTTTTTCAGACTATCATCAAACATCTATGGTTCAAAATGGATCTAAACACATCAATAAACGAAAGAAGACTCCATCACCAATTGGTTCCCATGAAAATCATATACGAAGAGGAATTCAGGACGAAGGTAATGCAAAAATCGCAATTTTTTGACAGATAAATCGTAATAATTGGTTTTCTTTATCGTTCCAGGCCAAGGATTTGGTTGAAGGTTTAGCGAAAATCGGTCACAAATACGATTTCACAGACGACTACGGATTCGCTTCCATCGTAGCGATAAGTAGGAACTCTAGCACCGGGCATACAGAAGCCGTATCTGACGCTAGAAGGCCTGGATCAGTGGCGTATGATAATTAACGAACTTTCTGAATATACTAAAAATTATGAACATACCAAAAATTACGAGTTATTTATTTTCATCTTAATCTTAATAAACACCTAAGGCATTCCAAATAAAATGGCTGCCAGTGGATAATGACAGGTTATGATATGGCAACCCTGTGGGCCTGGTGATTTAACAAGGTCAAAGATATAGATAGTTATATAGATTGATCATCCATGTTTTTCAAAATAAACATAAACTTATGCATTGAAGTAAAAATTTAGGTAATTATTTTTTTTAGTTTGCCGTATCATAACCTGTCATTACCCACATGCAGCATTTTAACAGGTCGTTGGAATGCCTAATTTTAAATATGCCGCAAACTTTACACCTATTTATGACGCCATTGGCTCTCTGGCACATTTAGTTAAATCGATCATTTTTGTAATTGGGCTACCTCTTATGATTCTAAAAATAACCAGTTATTATTTTTTATTGCATATTATACAAGGAATAATTTACCTCGAATCGTCTAAATGATCATGTTACTGTCATAATACCTAAGTGAATCTCATTTATTTTACAGAAATTTTACCAAACTGCTATAGTATTATGTTAATGTCGAGTTGTTTTGAATTATTTCAAATAAATAAATAATTGATTGTTTTGTTTTGTTGTTTTATTTATTAAACTATAATAGAGCACTCTAACTCTATAGACAGTGATAGTATGACGTCAAAAACAAAGCAAAGTAAAGCGAACCCGAATAGATACCATTACGTCACGATGCCTATTGATCCGCATGTACCAAATTATGGGAACTTAATACACTGGGAAACGTATGAAAATTAATTTTTCTTTTCGTTTGATTCATAAGAATTAAATAATGATAGAAAATTCTTACTATGTTCATTGTGTAAAATAGATTATTTTAATAACGAAATAAGTACTCTAGGTACAATAATGACAGTTAATTCACAAGAAAAAAAGATGAAAATGGAATTAAAACCTCCAAGGTTCTTAAACACAAAACAAAACTTTGTACCAGAGATGAACAACCTAGGTAGCACCTTTGACAATACGTTAACATGGAACTCACACTTAGAAAACAGAGTCAAAAGAGCATATATTGCTTATGAACAATGTCGCCAAACCGTGAGGTGTACCTGAGGTTTCTCCCCCAGAGTCGTCACATGGTACTTACATGGACATCATGCTAACACACGGTGCAGTTGCCTGGGTACCGAAAATACAAAAATTGGCAGCTATTCGCAAACTAGGACAAATTCAAATAACAGAATATCTCAACTTAACAAGAGCCATGAAAACCGTACCAACCAGAGCCATGGAAGTCGTTCTCAGTCTAACTCTCCTTGATATGTACATCAAGGAAGTTGCTCTGATCACAATGATACGCCACTTGTATCGAATTATCACAAAGCTTGAATATACGACTGTACTCTACGAAATTTGCGGCGATACTGATGTTAGCCCGGCGCCCGGTTAAATTTAAGAATCATTCTTCGCCACGCTGATGTGGTCTTTTACTAATTAGGGCAATACCGTCTTGACGAAGTATAAGTTATGAGAATATTATACCGGGTGTTCGAATTAAAGTGTTACAGTTAAAAACCGCCGAAAATATACATTTTAGAAAATAAAGTTTCAGACAAAAGTTTTATAGTTTTTTGGGGGAAACATTTTTTTATAGCTGACCATAATATGGTCATTTCGAGGTGGACTTTGTTTTTATAAATGGGAATTCCATTTTTTTACATATTCTTAAAGTACATAAAAAATAAGAAACATTTGATGGAAATATTTTGCTGGACGAAAAAAAAAGTTGGCCATATTATGGTTAGCTATAAAAAAAGATTTTAACCAAAATTTTTTCCCCACAAAACTATAAAACTTTCGTCCGAAACGTTTTTTTTTTTATAAAAGGCGGTATTTAACTGTAACACTTTAATTTGAACACTCGGTATATGTGAAATATTACGTTTCATATTGGATGATAATTTTCAATTTAAACTTACATATACTAAATAAGTGAAGACTTCCTTTTTTTAATAGAATTGTTCATTAAAAATTGACAAATTGAATCTATTACATTTCATTCTATCAGCAGAAGTTTGAAATCTTGTATTTAGTAAAACATTTTCAAGTGGCTCCTAGAACGACAATAGACGTGTCGTGAGTTCAATCCCTGTTTAGGTCAAGTGATTTTTAATAAAAAAATTAATAAATGGTACAATGGTTGCGAAAATAATAAATAAATTATTAATATAAAATAGTGTGTGGTGAATTACGGTCGTGTAAAAAAAGTGAGGATGTGGTCTCAATGAAATATAATCCAGGAATGGATGTTTTTTGAATGTCCAGTATTCAACGTCCAAATATAATCCAGAATTGGACGTCCTATGAATGGCCAAAAGTGTGCTATTTGTATACTTCACTGGACGTCCATTGGATGTTGGAAGTCCAGAAAAAATTAATTTTTGGACATCCAGACATCCAAAATTGTATATCGAATGGACGTCCAATGGGCCCTATTTGTGCTGGCTGGGATGCTCATCTATACATATAGCAGATAAGCACTACTTGTTCTATTACTGGGTTCGATGTAAATAATAGATATGTTTACTTTGAACTCTATTAAGGATACAAAACAGTACAAATCTCTTCATTGCAAGAGAGCGACGTGCCGTCAGCTGATCGCGTTATCAGCCCTGACAGAACACTACTTATCCTGAACAGACTACGAATTTACGTAAAAACATTTGGAGTATTTTTATAGCAGTTTAAAATAACTTTTTTGTGATGTGCGTAAACTTAAAAAAATGTTTCTATTTTCAATCTCTTGATAACAGTCTGAATGTCTGAAATCTGCATCACCTCAAGAAATAACATTAAAACTGCCAAATAATCAAAATATTTTAGATATTATAATCTTTAAACCCTGATTTTAGTCCTAAAAATTTGTTTGGTTTTGTTTGTTTGGAAAATTGAACCAAACTTTTATTAACAGCTGCACACTTGTAGCATTCGGACAAAACGTAAATATGTTAAATGATTAAGTGCGTCCGGAAACACAGCACTGGGACTGGGTTTCTCTAAAAATATTGAAATATGGTTTTTACAAAGGACATTTTAAGGTATAAAAATTTGTTTGAAAAATGGGCTGTCCTTTTCAAAGTTATAAATACCTACCATTTATCTCAATAGTACCTGCGACCCTAATTAGCCAGCTAGATATTTAATTCCGATTAAACAAGAAAATCCCTGCTATGAAATTGGATTACTGGATAACTATCGATATGTGGCAAATATTTCCCACCAGACCAACTTAATTGAAAACATGAAACAAAAGTATGGTTACTTATACCATTATATAAATATAAAGTTTTACGGACGAAATTAAAAAAGTATACGCCTAGATAGTATTGCTATAGTCTATTTTTATGTATGAGAGAGTATTAAAATAATAAAGCGTTCGTTATCCATAGGCGTAGCACTTCTTTTAGTAGACAGTTAAAATATTTTTTGAAGTTATTCCCCGATTATACACTTAAATTTTCACCTAATTAACCTGCTTATAACTTCTAAACAGCTGAAGGTAAAAAAAGTGCAATTTTTTCTAAAATGTTTTATTTTTCCACAAGGTATGTTAAGAACATTGTGTCAAACGGGTTATGTAGGTATAAGGGTTTAAACTTTGACTTTTAAACAACGTTACGTTCATAAATACTAATAAAACAACTGTTTAACATTACTCATTTTAAAAGAATTATTTTTTCTTGAAACTTCTCCCTTTATCTGTGCCCATATCAGTTCAATCGGGTTTACTTCGCAATGATATGGTGGTGATCTAACCACCGTCATCCCACGATTTTTTGCAATTTCATCAATTTCATATTTTTTGAATTTCTCTTTATGAAGGGAACACAAATGATACAGTTCTTTTCTCACAGAACCGGGATGGAACTTAATATTCTTTGAATTTAGCCAATTCTGTAAATTTTTTTTAACCACTTGGTTGTGGGCATTTTTTCTATAAGTCTCGAGTGATAACTTGCATTATCCATTACTATTATACAGTTATGAGGAAGAAGATCTATAATTTGTTCGAACCACTCTTTAAAGACATCAGCATTCATGTCCTCATGGTAGTCGCCGGTACGAGTAGATTCAAAAGTCAATAAACCACCTTTAACAAAACCGTTTGAACTACGGATGTGTACTATTATTAGTCTGCGCCCCTTTCCTAATGGTGGATTTAAACCAGTAGATAAATTATTTAAAAAAGCCTGTCTTCGACTTGTAACAGTTTCATTTTGCCAAAATTTATTTGGTTTATGTCCCTCGTTGATCCACGTTTCATCTAAATAAAATATATTTCTTCTTTGGTTTCTCATTTCTTTTATAGTCCTTAGGTAATTTCTTCTCCATACTACAATATCGCTTCTTTCTATTAAAATAGACTTTCTGGAATGCACTTTCCTTCGAAGTCTTTCTTTCAAAAGATTTTCTAATTGAAATTTTGGTTTTCCTGGAGCTTTACGTGCTGTTTGAAACTTGCCATATTTCTCTTCTTTAACAACTCTGTAAATCGTAGATTTCCCAACACCAAGCGTACTACTAACTAATTCCACTGTGTCATCAACACTTTTACATAAATGTTTGTCTGTAAATGATTTAAAACAATTAAATATTAATGTTTTTTCATTAACTGTCAAAGGACCGATTTTTTGTCGTTTACGCGGCCCTTCCAAATTTTGCATGATCACACCAGAATTCACACTGCACCTTCCAATAAACGACATTTAGTAAACTGTCAAGAATACACAACTTGGACCTCCTTACTAAATGGAAAACCTATAATCGCATTTTCGGTGAAATTTGTTGGGAAGGTATTTATCTACTTATAATTCGATTACTGTAAGAAATAAAACAAAATTGGCAAATAGGTACTTATTGAAAATAATCTTAAGATACGGCTATGTAATCTTTAATACACAGGGCTTTTGGCCTGTCAAAACCGTTTTCTATTGTTCTGTACAGCTTATGTTTATAAAGGACCAATAAAAGACCCAAAACTTGTAATAGCTCAGGTACATTTATTACAATTTTAGGAAATATTTAGATTATTCTGTAAAAATATTTAAAATGACCGCACTAAGTTTTGCATTAGAAATGCTGTTTTATTACTCTCTCATACATATCAATCAATACTATATGCTTAAGATTATTCCACCCTAAGCATATCTTCGTTAACATCAACAAGTAATCTTAATGTGTTTCGTCGAAATATCCCAAAAATGAAGTCTTAAGTTTGTTGGAGTGTCGTATTACACAGTATCGTTGTCGTCGTCATCGTCCTATATCTTACAATTGTTCTCCAATTTTTACGCAATTAACCCTTTTTTGAAAACATTAAATTTAGTTGTATGAAAATTTAATATTTTCCCTTGTAGATAACAATGTTATCTTTACCTGTACCTACGCGTTGGAATTGGTACTAAAAAAAATATTTACAAAAAAATGCATGCATTTCGATTCGCACAATAACAAAAATAGAAACATAAAACGAAAATTATTGCCTCAAAAGTTTTATATTATATTAGTTAAAGCGATAAGTGAACAATATCTCTAGTTCGGAAAGGAAATCGTTTTAGTATTGTTATCGTCAGTTATAAACGCTTAACACGCGGCGAAACAAATTAAGATATTGTTCAGTGCCAATCGGTCCTAAATATATAAAAGAGACCATTATTTAACTAGGATTTAAATAAACGACGATGTTTACAATTTGGAGGTAAGTGCGTCGCAATTCAAAATCAACTGCAATCATTTTATTTGGTTGAAAGCTGAAGAAAAGTGTTATTTTTAATGCGTCGAAAACACACGTCTATTACATGTATATCTAGGGACTAGGGTTGACTTTTATACAGAGAGTATTTTAATAAGTATGTGGTTTATTCGTACAATGTGTCATATACGAGTATAATATTTATTCAACGAATGCATGGATGCGAAGATCGGTTGCAATTAAAGCACGGTATGTCGGTGCAGTGTCGGACTGGCCCGGTCGGCAAGTCGGCATTTACCGACGGGGCTAAACCCTTTTGGGGGCCAACGGTCAAGCATTAGAGATAAATCAAACCACTATCATAAAAATGTTGTTTACAATAATTCAATGAAATCTAGGAAATCTGGCAACATTGGTGCGTCTAGACGTAGTCTAGGCTGCTGAGACAATTTGTTCTATGTTGATACTTGTTTTTTTTATAAATTTATGCAAATATGAAACTTTTTTAATATCATTCATCATGATAAAAAATTTTGAATACCTGACTCCCGCCTCAAATTACCTTGAGACCGAGTATTTATCGGGACGGTGGTGTAGCGGTCTATCGCGCTTATATTAATTTATAGGCAAGTTTATGAGTCTAAAACTGCTGGGTTTCGAATCCCAGACCGGACCATGTGGATTTTTAATTAAATTGCATGGTTCGGTTTAGGATTTGATGTGTGGCGTATTAATAGAAATTCAATTTCTGTTGATATGACATGCAGATTAAAAAAATTCGCCATACATTACCGTCTCGATGATGGTGGGTGAGGTTTTCCGGGTTTTCCTCACCTGTGAGTCAAATGACACCATCAATCATCTTTAAGTCGCCCCGGAGCGCCACGGCAAATAATAATAATAGCCGTCCCGTCCCCTACACAAGTCGTTCAGTCGACTTCAGGGGTTGAAATTCACTCGTAAGGGGGTGAATTAGGGAGAGTATTATTATTATTATTATTGATTCTATCCAAGCATACCATTTGGTAACAAATCTAAAGCAATGCTAAATGAAATATATGACAAATTTTAATTGTTAAAAAGACGAATGCATTTTTAAATTATATAAATCAAATTGAGACCATTAGAAACAAAGATATTGTAATTGAACATGAGCTGCCACAACAAAGGTTAAGAAAAAGGAAACGTATGGTAGACGAAACCACTGAAGATTCCGTTATTACCGATCCAATGAAAAAATTTGAAGTTGAAGTATTTAAATCAGTAATTAATCAGGCAATTCAAAGTATAAGTCATAAATTTGAAGTCAACAAATAAATTTATGAAGATTTTTCAGACCTTGATTCCAGAAATTTTAAAAGCTTGGATATATTAAGCGACTCCAAATTTACTGATATTGCAGAAAGATTGGGATCGATAATGTAGAAATAAAAAATGAATTATTGAGTTTCACACAAATTTGTTATGACTTATAAGTTTTTAATTACTTTGTCTTGCACCCTAGTGGCATGCGAACGAGTATTTTCTCTATTAAAAATAATTAAAAATAGACTTAGATCTTTATTAGGCTAAGAATTATTGCAGGCCCTAATATTAATGAATACGGAAAGAGACATCTTAAATAGTATTAACCCAGAAAAAATTATCGATAAGTTAGCTCAATTTAATATAATGCTTTGACTTTTTAAGCTTCGTTTTTTCTGATTGTGTATAGGTACCTATCATTAATAGGCTAGTTTTTTATTTTTGTTGTTCTTTAAGAATGGTAGTTTTATTTTGTTTTGTGATTTTGTACGTGTGCCTGTTTATTTTAATTATTTGTCTGTTGACAACGTTATATTTTGTGATAGAAATTTTTAGTCAGATTCTTTCAAATAGTACTTACTTATTTGCACTCCTATTTTTGACTATGTAATATTCATTTTCTTATTTGTTGTTTATGGAAGCCGGTTGAATGTCAATTTGTGATTTTTTTCCTTTTTTTACTTTTATTTTTATTTATTACCTACACAGTATTTATATTATGTTTTAAAGGCAAAATTTTATAGTTTTTTTAGATTATTTGAAACGGTCGCAAAGTGCTTGAAATTTCATGATTTTGGACTACTATTTTAACACTATTTTTTAATATATAAATTCTAAATATTTTTGTCTTAAATGTGATTAATCACCTTTATGGGAATAATCGAGTTGGTCAAAGAGAGTAAGATGGGGGACCAATTACTCGTGGTGCCGATGGGGCCAAATTTAGCCAGTCAGACCCTGTTCTGGTGTGCATGACAACCTTCAAGCATATATATTTACATAGCCCAGCTAGCACAAAAATATCCCATCTACGTTAATAAGCTGCAATTTTAGGCTCTTTAAGCTCGCATGCAATATACTTTTAATGTTATCCTAATATCCCTGCAACCGCAGAATGTCCGCAACTGCAAGACTTTTATATCACATCTAGCAGAAGTTACAAAGTAAGGTTAAGAGTTAAAGAGTAGTTTGCTAGCTAATTTTTGCCTTCGTTGGGCAAATGTTGTACATTTGTCAAATAAAGACATAATACATAAATAAAAAAGTTCAAAAAACATCACACTAGCACTTTTACGGTACTTACACCGAAAGTTGCTCTAAAACGTTCTATAGATGTTATAAAGTAAATTAGTTCTACAGCATTATTCAGTGTGTCCACAGAAGGACTTAACTTCATCATTTCTTTTGCTTGTTAAATAAATATTTACATTGAGAAATTATGAAAAATAACTTTTTTTTATTTAAAATAAATATGTTTACAAGTATAATTAAGTCCATCCATGGAGACACTAGATTGTTCTTCGTGTAATGTAATACAAAGAGGCTGAAATTGAGGTTTTAGTAAAATCTCAATCGAGACATGAAAATTTCAAATAAAACAAAATATTTATATAAATGTATTATTAAAATGTTCTTGAAATTAAGTACCACAAAAATTACACATGTGATAGTAGAAGCTACCTATAAAGCACTGAACAATTGGACAAAATTAGCTAACTAGTATTATAAGGTACCAATATTGCAAAGGTTTACTAGAAGCTTAAAGGTACGTTTCTAAGGTTCACTAATTTTTTATCAAGATGGCAATTATTGTACGATGCTAAAGCTAGATTGGTGAAAAATAATAGATGATTGTAACAATGACTAAGTATATATTACACAAGACGATACCTGAGTTCCCTGATTTCTTACCTGTAAACGCAGATATATATCATCTTTTTTAAATCAAGCCTTTTAACTTTTTTTTTATTTACGTGTGGCTTGGAAATATTTTTATTAATGCTATTAATGTAACATGACAATGTATTAGAAGAGGATAAATTATATTTTTATATAAGTAAAAAGATTTACTTTTCCACAACATGTTGAATAAGGAAGAGATTGACCTAAAGGAGAGTGCCCGAATATCGCACCCTTTTTTTTAAGGTTTCGTTTCTCTTCAGGAAAATACTTTTTAGCTGTGACTATGAGCTTCTAATATGAAGTGATTATCAGTAAAACAATGTGGCATCAAAACTTTATTTAAAAAACAAAAATTCTCTGTACAAAATAAATAACACATTTTGCTAAAACGGAATATGGTATCCTAATATCGCATATTCGATAATAGGACACATGTAGGTGGACGATCTTAGGACACCTTACCCAGTCAAACAGAAGTCACAAACAAAAATTTTCTTCTTGTCCGAATTGGAGCATTCTTCATGCCCCCATTTGTAACATTGACAACATTTTATCCATTTTTCACCTTTTTTATCCTCTGAGTACAATCCCAAACAATACATACACTCTGTGTCCTCATCATCGTTATTTTCAGAACTGCAATACATGTTGGAATCATCATCTAATTCTAAATTTATGTCCATCTCACTAGACTCACTATAATATTCCGCTTCTTTAAATTTCTTTGTTTTCTTGTTCTTGGAAGGACCAGGTTCTCCATTTAGATCTACTTTCTTTTTTACGGCTTTCTTCTTATTTATGTCTGATTTTTTTTTAATTCGAGTAATATCATATTGATATCCGACTCACTCGATCCACTGTCATATTCTCCTTCTTTGAATTTCTTAGTTTTCTTGCTTTTGGAAAGACCAGGTTCTCCTTTTAGATCTACTTACTTTTTTACGGCTTTCTTCTTGTTAATATCTGCTACCCTTTATTCTAGGTCTTCTTTATATGGTGTACCAGTAATTAACTTTGCTAAACCTGTCCTGGGCTTATTTGACTCAGTTTTTCGTGTTCCACTGCAAGATGACAAAGGAGTTATCTTTTCAGGGCCTATGTAACCTTTAAGTGGTGGCGTAAATTCTCCGCGATGAGGATTCTCATTTTGTTTTGTTGGAAGTGGAGGTATTGTTTCATGTTGTCTGTGAATAGCAAATTCGTAGTCGTGGAAAATGTGTCGGTTGCAGGCAGGGATAAATGCCACTTCTTCTGAAACCATTAGTGCTAAACGTTAAACTGAGATGCCGATAGAGAAATCTTCTAAGCCATTTTCTTCCAGCAGTTCCTTTTTGTGGAAGTGAAAAGCATGGCAACCGTGACGATATAGCATTTTTATAAAAACCATTTCTAAAAAAAAACAGAAAAAAAGGTCCTCCACTTATATTTCGTACAAAAGAGGGTCTTTTACCTTTGTATAAATCCGATTACTCTGCAGCTTTTAAAAAGCGTGGAATTTGCAAAAAAAAGCATGACGTCTGACAACCCTAGTTATTAGGGTTGCCATCTTTTCATTTCACAAAACCCGGATCTTTGTTGGTAAAATTTGTAAAAATATAGGTCCTTACCTTATGATTTTATAAACAAAAAAAAAAGGTCGTCAGCTCATAATTTATTCCCGGACATCCATCATGCGACCGGGCTCCAGACACATTGTTCAAAACCCGTATAGGTGGCATCCCTAGGTGTTATATATTCTTCTTTAGACAAATTTGTAGTATTTCCTTTGCTTTTAAAATTCCTAGAATGTCATCAGGTAC